TTCAAAGGCATCTTCTTCAGTCTTCCTTATTCATTGTCCAGCTTTTGCATGCATATGAGGCGATTGAAAACACCATGGCTTGGGTCAGGCGTACCTTAGTCCTCATAGTGACACTTTTGCTTTCTAACACTTTAAAGAGGTCTTTTGCAGCGGATTTGCCCAATGCAATGCATCGTTTGATTTCTTGACTCCTGCTTCTATGAGGATTGATTGCTGAAGTACACCAGTAGAAGTGCACAAAAAACTTCACAGCAGTATTGTTTATTATAACAAAAACAAAAATACAGATATGTATTACCCACAGGGGAATGGATAAGTAATCACACATCAGAATAGTATACAGCACTGAAAAATAAAATTACATGCACCAAAATGGATGAATCTCACAAATAGAATGTTGAAGAGGAAAAAGCAAGTTATAGAAGCATACAAACAATGCAATTCTATTTATATAAAGCTTAAAGGCAGGCAAAACAAAACAACTGCTTAGGGCTACATACATATATGATAAAATTATAAGGAAAAGCAAGAGAAGGATTCACACAAAAACTCAGGATAGCGGTTACTTCGAGGACTGGATGGGGTTGGGGATGGACAGTCCCGTGATGAGGAAGGGTCCTGTTATGGATTGAATTCTGTCCCCCTGAAATATGTGTTGGATTCCTAACCTCTATACCTACGGATGTAACCCTATTTGGAAACAGTTTTCTTTGTTATGTTAATAAGGTCATATCAGTGTAGTGTGTTTGCTAAATCCAATCACTTCTGAGTTATAAGATGCAGCATAAACAGACAAGCAAGCACAAATGGAGGAAGATAGATGCCACATGAAAACTGCCAAGGAGTCAACGAACAGCAGCTGAAAGAGACAAGGATTTTCCCCTAGAGCAGACAGAGAGAGCCTTCTCCTAGAGCCGGTGCCCTGAATTCTGACTTCTAGCCTCCTGAACGGTGAGAAAATAAATTCTGTTCTTTAAAGCCCCCACATACGGTGCTTCCGTTACAGCGGCACTAGGAAACTAAAGACAGGTCCTAACAGGGGCCTTCTAAGACATTGGTGGTATACAAGGACTTTTTTTTTTTGGCTGTTGATTTTTTTTTTTAATTGTGCTTTAGGTGAAAGTTTACAGCTCAAGTTAGTTTCTCATATAAAAATTTATACGCACATTGTTATGTGACCCTAGTTGCTATCCCTATAATATGACAGCACACTCCCCCTTTCCACCCCAGATTTCCCATGTCCATTCAACCAGCTCCTATCCCCTTCTGCCTTCTCATCTCGCCTCCTGACAGGAGCTGCCCATTTAGTCTCGTGTATCTACTTGAACTAAGAAGCACACTCTTCACGAGTATCATTTTATGTCTTATAGTCCAGTCTAACATTTGTCTGAAGATTTGGCTTCATGAATGGTTTTAGTTGTAGGTTAACAGAGAGTCTGGGGGCCATCTCTTCTGGGGTTCCTCTAGTCTCAGTCAGACCATTAAGTCTGGTCTTTTTACTGGAATTTGAGTTCTGCATCCCACTTTTCTTCTGCTCTGTCAGGGACTCTCTGTTGTGTTCCCTGTCAGGGCGGTCATTGGTAGTAGCCGGGTACCATCTAGTTCTTCTGGTCTCAGGCAGATAAAGTCTCTGGTTTATGTGGCCCTTTCTTTCTCTTGAGCTAGTACTTTCCTTGTGTCTTTGGTGTTATTTATGCTCCTTTGCTCCAGGTGGTTTGGGACCAGTTGATGCATCTTAGATGGCTGCTCGGTAGCTTTTAAGACCCCAGACACCACTCACCAAAGTGGGATGCAGAACATTTTCTTAATAAACTTCGTTATGCCAATCGACCTAGACGTCCCCTGAAACCATGGTCCCCAGATGCCCACCCCTGCTACTCTGTCCCTCGAAGTGTTTAGTTGTGTTCAGGAAACTTCTTAGCTTTTGGTTTAGTCCAGCTGTGCTGACGTCCCCTGTATTGTGTGTTGTCCTTCCCTTTACCTAAGATAACTCTTGTCTACTATCTAGTTAGTGAATTTCCCTCTTCCTCCCTCCCCACCCTCGTAACCATCAAAGAATGTTTTCTTCTGTGTTTAAACCTTTTCTTGAGTTCTTATAATAGTGATCTCATACAACATTTGTTCTTTTGTGACTAATTTCACTCAGCATAATGCCTTCCAGATTCACCCATCTTATGAGATGTTTCGCGGATTCATAGTTGTTCTTTATGGTTGTGTATAATGCATCGTATGAATATACCATAATTTATTTTTCCATTTGTCCGCTGATGGGCACCTAGGTTGTGAACAGTGCTGCAATGAATATGGATGTGCATATATCTCTTCGTGTGATGGCTCTTATTTCTCTAGGATATATTCCAAGGAGCGGGATAGCTGGATCGTATGGTACTTCTATTTCTACCCTTTTAAGGAAGCGCCAAATCGATTTCCAAAGTGGTTGTACCATTTCACATTCCCACCAGCAGTGTATAAGTGTTCCAGTCTCTCCACAACCTCTCCAACATTTATTATTTTGTGTTTTTTGGATTAATGCCAGCCTTGTTGGGGTGAGATGGTATCGCAATGTAGTTTTGATTTGCATTTCTCTAATGGCTAATGATTGTGAACATTTCCTCATGTATCTGTTAGCTACCTGAATAGCTTCTTTGGTGAAGTGTCTGTTCATATTGTTTGCTCATTTTTTAATTGGGTTATTTGTTTTTTTATTGTTGAAGTTTTGCAGTATCTTGTAGATTTTAGAGATTAGACCCTGATCGGATATGTTGTAGCCAAATTTGTTTTCCCAGTCTGTAGGTTGAGGGACTTGTTTTACTGTTGTTATTTAAATCATTAAATATATGTTATATATACTTTTTTTGCTTGTATAATAAATTCATAAAACAAAAAGAAAATGCCAATAGCAGCTTGTTCTGCAGTCACTCTTCCAGTTTAGAGACATCCATCAATTCACCTCAGATTTTTTACAAAGTCTTGGAATTGACATCCCCAGCCCCAGTCTTTTTCCCTGCTGCCCACCTTCCACAGCTATCAGACAGGTTTTCCTAAAGCACATCTCACATCAGGCCACCAGCCTGCTTAAGTACCTTTTGTGGCTTCCCATTGCCTACTCCATAAGCCCTAACTCCTCAGCTCCACACATTCCCCCTAGACCTGAAATATCCTTCCTCCTCCTCCACTTTCCTTCAAGGCCCACTCCTGCTCAGGGACTTCCATTTACCCATCTGGGGTCACATGTGACCCCCTCCCATCCCCTGCTTCTGCAGCCTCCTGGTCAGAACTCTGCAATTGTCACAAGGTGAGGTCACAAAGCCCCCAGGAAAGAGAAGGCCTAGTCCTCAGAGGCCAGGATTCTGGAAGCTCCTTGGGCAGGAGCTGGACTTGGTGCTCAAGTGACGCTTGGGGGAGCCTGCAGCTCCCTTCATCATGGTAAGACTGGTCCACATGGCTCATTGGATCATATGGGATGAGGGGTCTTGGGCTCCACCCGGATCCACTGGACCTAGTTGGGCACAAGCTTGTCTGCTATGTCACTATCTTTTAGGAATGGGATCAGGAAAGGATGGGATAGCGGGAATAGGGTGGTGATTTGTGGGAGAGGATGCTTTGCAGTCTGCTCATATCTGTTCCTCCATACTCCATCTGAAGTTTGCAGTGGGCTGGTCTGAACAACTCCTATTCCCTGGCTCTATCTGCCCCTTAGGGTGTAGAGCAAAGAGAATGGACTTGAGATGCTATCTGTCTCAGTCGTTGACTGATAGGATAACTCACATTGTTAAGGTCCCTGTCGGGTGATGAATTCACTGGTGGCCAGGTCTGTCTCTTGATGGTGATAGATTCTTGCCCAGGGAAAGATAATGGAGATAGTAACGTCTACTTGGGTAGACACCCAGGTAGATGTCCCTGAGTGGCACCAATGGCTAAGAATTGGACTACTAACTGAAAGGCTGGCGGGTCGAACGCACCCAGAGGCGCCTTGGAAGTAAGATCTAGTGATCTGCTCCCAAAAGGTCACAGCCTTGAAAACTCTATGGAGTAATTCTACTTTGCACACATGGGGTTGCCATGAGTTGGAATAGACTCGATGGCAATAACAACAACAAAGGCTACCTGGCCTCCTTCACATGGTTATGGGCCCCTAGTAAGATGTTCAAGTGTAAGGCTGTTTGTTTATAGACATTTGGAGGCAAGGGGAGGGAAAGGTGTGCTGACTTTGTCCCTTGTAGATAGCACTTCCCACTGTGGCCTGGCGCTTGGGAACTGGGGAGCTGGAATCTAGATCCTTGTGACTGGTTTCTGATTAACTGAATTTATCAAGTTAAGAAAGTTTCTTCACATTCCCATATTAAAAAATTATTTTATTAAATGTATTTTATATTTATTTAGATGATCATATGTAGTAAATTACAATAATTGATTTCCTAAAGTTTAACTACATCTATTCCTGGAATTCGACTACTGACTGAAAGGTTGGTGGTTTGAACCCACTCAGTGGCACCATGGAAGAAAGCCCTGGTGATCTGCTTCCGTAAAGATTACAGCCAAGAAAACCCTATGGAGCTGGGTTCTATTCTGTAACACATGGGGTCGCCATGAGTCAGAATCGACTCAATGGCAATGGGTATTCCTGGGATAAACCCTACGTAGCTTCAGTCCAAAGGTTCAACTCAACAGATTTTTGCCCTACGTTTTAGCTCTTTGTGCCTGAGTTTACGCTACCTTTTAGCATCTCCAGGCCTAGTGAAGCACCCACTACTGTGCCAGCCAAGCACCTGACACACGTTTTCTCATTTGATTTTCCCAACAACCCTTGGAAACTGAAAAGAGTATCTCCCCCATTTTATAGATGGAGAAAGTAATGCTGGAGAAGTTAAATGATTTGCCCATGATAGCAAATGGAGGGGTGGATGTTGGAACTATTTTGCTAGCTTCAACGGGTGCCCGAGTCAGCTCTCCTTACGTGCCTAATCCCCTCACTCTACTCTGCTTCCCCTACCCTGCAGTGTGAAGAGATAAAGGCGAACATGCAGAAACACATGCAGAACCTGAGGCATAGCAAGGAGGAGCTGAACAGGCTTAACCAGGCCATCCAGCGGCTGACTGTGGAGGTGGACAGCGCTGAGAGTCAGGTGGTAGGGAGAGGCGTGCTCCAGAGTGATGCTGGGGGGAGGCGTCTGTTATTTAGGACAACTCGACAACACCTCCAGTCCTTTGGCATATTTGAGTAGAGCGTCCCGTTGTGAGTGTTTGAGCATATAAGACTATGGTTGTATGTGTATATTGTGCTTGTTTTTGCCTAGAACTCTGTAAAGCATATGTGTAAGTAACATATACGTAAAGATGTATGGATATGTATGCTTGTTTGTATATAGCTCTCTTTTCACATGGGTATGCACATTTTTATGAATGTGTGTTTTGCTTGCCCTACATAGCATTAAATTTGAGCCCATCTTCAGAAACGGCAAGATTTTACCTAGAAACCCAATTTTCTGGGTTCTCTTAAAAACAAAAAACAAAAAACTGAAGATCTGGCAATATGCTATGATTCCCACATGGTAACATTTGGCTAGAGAAGAGAGGCCTCTATCTTCTTCACTGGGTGTATGCTCGCTGGTGTGCCGCAGTCCCCACTACTCCCAATCGCATCCTTCAGTACTGGCTCCCTTACCATTTATCATCACCCCGGTTAGCATTGTCACTCTTCTTGTAGAAGAGAGGAGGCTCTGAACTTTATGTCTCTACCTAAAGTAGAAAAATGAAAGAGGTCGTTATGATTTCAGGAAAATGGAAGAGAGCATATTTCTCTGTGGAACTGAACACTATTGATATATGTTCACCATTTGGCCCTCGCCTATCTATGCTTCCAACCAGGGTTCTGTAGGCATTTGAGTCTGTGACTCTCAGGCTTTCGGCCTTGGAAAGGAGAGGTTCCCACCTGGATGCTATCTGTCTCCCAATCGCTCCTCCTCTCAACCTCCTCTCTTTTTTCCCAGCAGCCTTGTCTTCCAAGCCCCCTGGCTCACGCCCTACCCCACAGGAGAAAGGGGTTCTGCTTCTTGTCTTGTCTTGCTTTCTGCAGATACAAGTGTCTTAGGCTTTGAGGGGTGTTCACAGGGTTCTCCCTTGCTCAGTAACGGATGACTCTGAGGAGGGACAAGCTGTTCAGGTTCCAGGGGTGGTGGCTCAGTCTCCCACCAGCCACAGCTGCTCCAATGTCCCCACTGGGTTCCTAAGCAGCAAGCACACCTCACCAGCCAAGCGTTTGCTTCCGGACACTACAAACTCTAGTCTCCTCCGAGGAAAGAATATTCTTCCTGTTAGCATGACCTTGACCCTGTGTCCTATGAAACAATAACCCCAGCATTATGTGCTAAGGGCATTTGATGCTTCCTGGATTCTAGCTCATATTAGAAGTGTCACCATACTAAATGTAAAGGTTCTCTCTCAGCCTTCCCAGATGGCTGGCCCCAAATCGCCATCCTGAGAGCAGAAGGGTGTCTCATCATGCTCACTCTTCACAACCATGGACAATCTCCAATCCCTCTTTGGCCCTTCGGCCTCTGAGAAAGGTTTGGGACCTTGAGGGTAGAGGGGTGGGGGCCAAGGGTGTCCTTCTGTTCTTGGTTTTCCCTTCATCCCCAGTCCTGCAAACCAGAGCGAGCCAAGGACCCACCAGCTCTACAGGGTGAGCGTGCCTCAGGCAGTGCCAAGGGCAAGCTGGCTTGGCTGGAGGCCGCTTTGCAGCGAGCCAAGCAGGACATGGTGCGGCAGCTGCGAGAGTACCAGGAGCTCATGATCGTCAAGCTGGGCCTGGACTTTGAGATTGCCACCTACCGCAAGCTGCTGGAGGGCGAGGAGAGCAGGTGAGGGCTAGGCAATACTCCACATGTGACCACGGGGTGAGGAGTGCAGCAGCACAGGGGGGTAACCCCCTAGGTCCCCATCAGCCAGGGAAGGGTGGAGAGAGATCACCTGTGTATTCAGGAACTTGTTCTCCTGAGCCAGTTTTCCCACTGTCTTAACAGCACTTCACCCAAAATGTCCCAGGTAATGAGCACCTTTGGCACGTAGGATGGGGAGATCCACGAAGTCATTTGCCTCCAGTATTAAGGAGCAGGGCAGTTTGTCCATCAAGACAGCTGCAGGGACCAAGCACCCAGCCAATGGGAACAAGGTCCCTTGTGTGGAGTGCCTTCTTCTTGACTCTGTCCCTCTCCCCTAGGCCTGGGAAAGGCGGGGTTCCACAAACATGGAGGGCAGTGCCTTCTAACCCTAGCCAGCAGTAGAGCAGGATGCAAGAGCCTGAGGGGAGGGAGAGAGAGCTGAGCACCCAGCACGTGACAGAGAGGCTGTATTTATTACCAAAACCTGTTAACTACTTGCTGTTGATTTCAACCTGTGGAGACCCCATGTGTGTCAGAGTAAAACTGTGCTTCATAGGGATTTCAATGGCTGATGTTTTGGAAGTAGATCACCAGGCCTTTTTTCCGAGGTGCTTCTAGGTGGATCTGAGCCCTCAACCTTTTGGTTAGCAGCTGAACATGTTACTGTTTGCAACACCCAGGGGCTTCTTTAAACATCACAAACCCCCACTTTACAGCTAAGGAAACTGAGTCTCAGAGAGGGTAAATGACAACATCAAGGGCACACAGGTAGAAAGTGAGTGAGACTTGAACAATCTTCTTCAGATAATTGGGCCATCTCCTCAGTGGTCTCCTTTAAAGGTTGAAAATGCTCTATCAGGATTCTCCTTTCAAGATAAGATTAGGCCAAAGAAAGTGTAGATCTTTTGCCTTCTCCTTCCTCCAAGAAGTCATCAACAATGTGGAACGAATCAAGCAAATATTTGAATTTAAGGCAGGAGGGATTGAATTCAAAGGTCTGGAAGGAGTTTTTGACTCAAAGGCTGGCTGGGTTCAAGAGAACCAAGGAGCTTGAAGAATAGCAAGATTTCTGCCAGCCTGGGGAGGGTCAGGAGGGTTTGTCTTGGAGAATGGAGACTACTAAACCTAGTAGGTAGGTTCACTTACCTGCTTCCTTCTTTCTCCCTCTGCAGGCTTGGTCTGGGATTTGGGGCAGGGAGTGTCAGTAAGTAAATAAGAGGCATAACATGGATTAGAAGGGTCAGATCTTATTCCCTTGGGCTGGGGGCCGGGGTCTGTTTCTGTCCTTGTGACTGAGTGGTGTCTGTGAGTGCTCCCTCCCTCTTTGCGGTGATTCTTCGTGGCTTGTGTGTGCTGGGGAAGAGTGGGCCCTGTGGTCTATTCTTTGGGGGTATGTTCTGTGGATTTGTCCCGGGGAGGGACTTTTGTGGGTCTATGGAGCAGTTCTACTCTGTAACACATGGGGTCGCCATGAGTCGGAATGACTCTACGGCAACAGTGTTTTTTTTTAAATCCTAGGGAAGATACTTTTTTTCTGGGGTGGAGGGAATCTGTGTCTGGGTCCAGGGAGGATTCTTGAGTCTGTTTCTTGGGAGAAGTGGGTCTGTGTATCTATTTCTTTGGGAGACTTCGCACGTCCGGTAGAGGGCAGGGTCTGTATATCTGTCCCGTGGAGGAGGGGTTTGTATGCCAGTCTTAGGGGCGGAGTGGGGCGGGGGTGAGGTGGGGAGTGTGCTTTCCTTCCTCCAACAGCCGCTCTCCGCTCAGCTCCAAGCAGCACTCCCGCTGGCAAGCCCTGCTCAGCCTCTGGCCCCTCCTGCCTGCTCCCGCCTGGAGCCGGCTCCGACGCCCTGGAGACGAGCGCCCCTGGTGGCGACTGCGCGCTCTGCGAATCCTCTGGCTGTGTTGGGGACTTTAGCTGCATTGGTCCCCGCTGATGCTGAACCCTTACCGCCCTGCTCCAGAGAAGTCAAGGAACCCCAGCTTCTGCCCAAAAGACTTAGCCTTCTGTCTCAGACGCCCTTTCCTATGGAACTCGCCTTTCCTCTCCCTCTTGTCCCCCACTCCAGAGCGTAAGGTCTTGGAGCATAGTTTACTGAATTGTGACAGAACTGTCCCCAGTACAGAGATAGCTTGGACGCTGGTGCCACTAGAGAGGCATGGCCTGTAGCTTATCTGGGCCCAGCACCCTGTCCTTCTGAACTTCTCCTGCCCATCTTTTCCTGGGACTCCTCTTTTGCAATAAAAAGTTGTGCAGTTGACAGAGCAGTCGGGCTATTTGTGCCTGGAGTCCCCCGGTCACTCCCAGAACACAAAACCCAGAACTCAACCCTTTGCCATTGATTCAGCTACAACTCATAGCGACCCCATGTGTTTCAGAGTAGAACTGCATTCCATAGGGGTTTCAGTGATTGGTGGTTTGAATCCATCCAGCAGTACTGCAGAAGAAAGGCCTGGTGATCTGCTTCTGTTGAATTTACAGCCAAGAAAACCACATGGAGTAGCTCTACTCTGTAGCTCGTAGGCTCTCCGTGAGTTGGAATTGACTTAATGGCATTTTTTTAAAAAAATCTTATGTAAGTAGATCACCAGGCCTTTCTTCCATGGCACTGCTGAGTGGATTCACACTGCCAATCTTTTGGTTAGTAGCCAAGCTCAAATCATTTGAGCCACCCAGGGAACTCCCAGAATACAAAGCTGGCTGAATTTGGGGGAGAGGCTGGGAGAAAACTGTACCAGGAAATAGGGCTTTGAACCGGTTTCTGCTGGTTCAAACTCCGGCTGAGAATTTGCATTTCTAACAAGTTCCCAGCTGATGCTAATACTGCTGGTTAGGGACCAATTCTGAGAACTACTAGTAACCAGTGTTTCTCAAAATTTATTATACATAAGAATCACCTAGGGATCTTGTTAAAATGTAGATTCTGATTCAGTGTATCTGGGGTAGAAATGCAAATTCTCAGCAGGGGGTTTAAGCCAGAACAAACTGGTTTGAAGCCCTGCTAGGAAACAACCCTCCCCTCCTGGTGTGTGTGTCCATGTGACTTAAGTTAATAGTGACTGAACCAAATCTTTAGGATTGGGGTGGGGGTGAGTGTCAGAGCACTGCTTGGGAAAGTGAGCAAAGGGGTTAATTTATGCAGGAGGGTCTGATTACGGCTTAGGCTGAGGTCCAACAACAACTCTTCTTGGCTGAGGAGCTGAGAACTACATTCATCCATTCATTCACTCCACAAACACTTATTGAATGGTCTCTGAGGGTCAGGCATAGTGCTTGGACACAGTGGTGAGCAAGACTCTCAAGTCTTGGCTCTCTGGAGATGATGTTCTAGGTGGGGAGGCAAACCATAAACAAGGAAACCGACTAGAAAGAGAATAGAGTGGGGATGAGAGGTGAGTTGTCTTCTACTGTCCTGGCAGGGGCATCTGAGGAGACATGGCTCTGGGGACGATGACCTTTGCAGCTTGGGGGTTGGCGATATTAACACAACTGGGTGACCCAGCCTGGGTTGTAGTTTAACTGGGGATCTCATGGCAGGTTGGGGCACAACCTACTATGGGAGAGGAAAGCATGGGAATCAAAGACCCAGGCTCCAGCTCTGCCTCTACTTCCAGATCTATGGTGTGGTTTGGTCCATATTTTCACAAGGCAACCAGACTTTGGGAGGCAGAAGATAGAGCAGTTTGAGTGGTGGAGTGGCCAGAAAAGGGCTGGGTTTCTTGCCTCTTTCCTTGTCATACAGGCCCAAGAGCAGCCTCACATTCAGTAAGCTCACATTCTTTTCTATTACATGAAGGATTACCTCATCTATGCATCTTGGGAACAATGCTTCCTGCTTTCTAGGTCCCTGGGTGGGGTCATTGGCTAGAGGCCCTGGCTTTACCTTTTAAGGAGCTCTAGTGCCATTGTGTCTGCTGTGTTCACCTGGGTCCCTGACTCCCTGCCTAGAGAACAGACACCCAAAGGCCCCCTTTCTGGATAAACAGAACAGTCTCATGTGGGAAGAATGGGACTGAAACTTGGCTGGCAGGCTGCCACCCATCTGAGGGGTAGGGGACATACAGGGCCCACTGGGCTCCACATCAGCCCCATTTGATCAATAGTGAACTACACCAATGGTACAAAATTCTTACCAACACCCCCAATGCAAAACAGCTGCCTCAAAGTAGAATTGCCCCTCTTCAAGATTATTTAGTTGGGCCCCGTATTCCTGGCATTTTGCTAGGAGGTAATGAAACTCTATGAATTTCAAGGCCAGATTTTTCCAGTTCCTGCTGTTTAAATCATGTCAATGAGGGATCTTTGTGGAAAGTGCAGACAGAAATATCACCCAGGAGTTTGAGTAGGATTTATGATGTGCATTCTAGAGCCTCTGTCAGTGGGGACTGGCTGTCCCCATTTTCCCTTTCTAAATCCGAAGCCTGACCTTGCCCGATGTCAGGTCAGGAGATCCCAAGTGCTTTGGGGTCGGGCTTGAGTCTCTCCTTGGGCCAGGGCCACATGGGTTACCAGGAATGTTTGTGGTTTGGGGACAACTCTCTGCCAGGCTCCCCTGGCCATGGGCCACATTCCAGCCTGGGGTGGGAGAGAACAGCTTGTTGCCATTTATGGAGAGTCATTCATAGCCCATTTATAAGCTTTGTGAGTCAGTGTGACTTCTGAAGGGAGAAGGATTGCTACTAGTTCAGTCATCGCTTCTCAGTGGAAGGGGACCACAAAGCGTCAGCTGGTTGTTGGCTCCCTAGGCTTGCCTCATGCTTAATAGCACTTAAACGTGCCCAATGCTGATTTAGCTGTGTTCGTGTCTCTATCTGAGCCCCTAGAGGGCAGCAACTGTCTCAGCCATCTATCTCCAGGGCCTGCCACATAGCAGGTGTGCATAGGTTGAAGCTCTCCAGTCCTGGTTGATTTGCCCTGTCCTTGGAGGTACTGGGACCTATTCTTTTACCATCAACATGTCTCACCTTACATAACCCCTTGGAAGCCTCTTTTTGAGTTTAAAAGCAATTCTTCCGGCTGTGATTCCAGCAATCAGACCAGCCTGGTGTAAGGAAGGAAAGGTCTGCGTTCTATTCCCAATCTTGCTGTTATCTTGGTCCAACTCTTCCCCTGCTTCCAGGCTTCATCCCTCCTACTCCCCCAGATCTAAATGGTGAAGTTTCGTTTGTCCCTTTTATTTTTGCTCAACCTCTCTGTGCTACAGTTTATCTGTAAAACAAGAATAGTACCATCAGACTGGTGGTGTAATGGGTATAGTGCTCAGCTGCTAACTGAAATGTTGGAAGTTTGAACCCACCAGCCACTCCACAGGAGAGAAGACCTGGCAATCTCCTCCCGTAAAGATTTCAGTCTAGGAAACCCTATGGGGCAGTTCTACTCTGTCCTACAGGGTTGGTATGAGTCAGAATTGACTCAATGGAACACAACAGCAGCAACAGCAACAACGCACACCTATCATAGAGCTGTGTAAGAATTGAATATATCGCTTTATGTAAAGTGTTTAAAACACAGTAAGAATTATATAAGTGTAATTAATATTTCACTTATCGGGATTCTTGGGAAGGGTTTGAGCACTTTTAGTTAAAGAAAGGTCCTGGTGGTACAGTGGTTAAGAGCTCAGCTGCTAACCAAAATGTTGGCAGTTCGAATCCACCAGCCATTCTTTGGAAACCCTATGGGGCAGTTTTACTCTGTCCTGTAGGGTCACCATGAGTCAGAATCGACTTGATGGCAATGGGTGTAGTACCCCAAAATCTAAGGCCAGCCGATCTCTCTCTGCCCCAGCTGGAGCAGGAAGGGGAGGGAGGCAAGCTCAAGGGTTAGAGCAAGGGTTCCCTGGCACCTGCCCATCACTGCTCCCATCTTAACCCAGTTCTCCATCTGTGACCCCACTTCACCCGCACACGTGGGTCCACTGGTACATCCACACTGCACTGATATCTACATGTACCCACAAAATCCCTCTTCAGCACACATACACATGCAGACATTCACCATATAATCACACTCACATATAGAAAGCCTCAGAGACCTTCACACAAACACATGTACATGTTTCCACACTGCTGCCTGGAGATGTGCACGTACCTGTCTGCAATCACACTGCTTCATTCACAGATAGCTACATATAGACACCGAGCCCTGCAGGATAAATATACCAACAACGTGCACACACATAGCACAGCTGCATGGAGCCTGGGCTCCCCACTTCCCTCTAGCTGGTCAGACCCATAGTTTTCCCCAACACCTGCTGTCTCTTTCCAGTCGCCTCTGGGCCTTTGTATCTCACAGGCTCCTCTTTCTTCTGGGATACCTCACCTTTTCCTGTCCCACCTCTCCTAATAATAATAATAATAATAATAGAGCTTCAGATTAGTAAAGGATCTTAGCAGCCATCTAGTCCAAACATTTTATTGCACAGGTGAACACACTGAGGCCCAGAGAGGAGAGGTTCAAGGTCACACAGGGAGTTCTATTTTCTTCACTGTTGTACATTGTGGGCTTTGCTCAACATGCATTTGATTCATTCACCCTGGTGCCTCTGCCTGAGCCTGTCCAGGAGGGGAACGTGGAGAGAAGGCTTCCTGGAGGAGAGGCTTGTGGAGCTGGAGTGGGAAGTAGGAGAGGGGCAGAGCTGGAAGGAGGGTGAGAGAGTGAAGTACGGCAGGTTATCAAAGCCCAGCTGGGTTGATGATACCAGTGAGAGGCCAGTTGCCAAAGATAAGTCCCTCTGGACTGGAGTTGCGGTTGGTTTCTGGAAGAGGAGGGATGGAAAGATGGAGCTGGTGCTCTGACTTCAGATCTAGACTCTCGATGGGGCGTGCTTCTGAGCTGTGTGGTGTCACAGCGTAGGGACTGGTTAGAACAATCACACATTCTGGAACTCTCCCAAGGGTTTTGTTCCGCTCAGACTTCCATCAGGGAGGTGGTGGGGCCACCTTAGCGGTGGGGAGACCTTGCCTTGATCTTACTCTTTTGTCTTTTCAGACTCAGAACACCTCCCTCTTCCCTCCTCAATTTTCTCAATTATTTCTATTGCCCTGAGGTGTGGGGTGAGGGTAGGGGACTTCCATTCCTGCTACAGTTTTCTGGGCCTGGGACTGGAAGTTGAGAGATTCACCCTGCTGTAAAGATGTATGCTAGGGACTCACCTTGGCCCATAGTGAAGCTGAGCTGCCACCTTTCCACTCCCCCTGCCCCGTGTAAGATCTTCCTAAGTGTCAGGGGGACACTTCACTGCAGGAAGGAGCTCAGTGACCCTTGTAGATGTGGCTGTTTCTCTCTCTGTACTTGCAATCTTTGATCACAGACGTAAGTTTTATAAGAGGCTGGCCCTGGCCCTGATCCTGTAGGGACTTCTGCTCTATATTCTACAAAAGAATAATACTAATGGTAAATGCATATAGTGTTTATTTTATGGCAGGCGTTGTCTAAGCATTTTGTTGTTGTTAGGTGCCATTGAGTCAGTTCCGACTCATAGTGACCCCATGCACAACAGAACAAAACACTGCCTGGTCCTGCGCCATGCTCACAGTCCCTGCAATGCTTGGGCCTGTTCTCGCAGCCGCTGTGTCAATCCATCTCGTTGAAAGTCTTCCTCTTTTTCGCTGACCCTCTACTTTACCAAGCATGATGTCCTTCTCTGGGAGCTGGTCGCGCCTGATAACATGTCCAAAGTACGTGAGACGAAGTCTCACTATCCTTGCTTCTAAGGAACGTTCTGGCTGTACATCTTTTAAGACAGATTTGTTTGTTCTTTGGGCAGTCCATGGTATATTCAATATTCTTCACCAACACCGTAATTCAAAGGCATAAATTCTTCTTCAGTCTTCCTTATCCATTGTCCAGTTTTCACATGCATATGAGGCGACTGAAAATATCATGGCTTGGGTCAGGTACACCTTAGTCCTCAAAGTAATATCTTTGCTTTTTAACACCTTAAAAAGTTATTTTGCAACAGATTTGCCCAATGCAATACGTCATTTGATTTTTTGACTGCTGCTTCCATGGGCATTGGTTTGGATCCAAGTAAAATGAAATCTTTGACAACTTCAATATTTTCACCATTTATGATGCTGCTGCTTATTGGTCCAGGTGAGTGAATTTTTGTTTTCTTTATGTTAAGGTGTAATCCATACTGAAGGCTGTAGTCTTTGATCTTCATCAGTAAGTACTTCAAGTCCTCTTCGCTTTCAGCGAGCAAGGTTGTGTGTAAGCATTTTGCATATGTTAAATCATTTAGTTCTCCTAACAACCCTATGAGTAGGTGCTCTTTTTATTATCCTCACTTTAGAGATGTGGAAACTGAGGCACAGAGAGGGTAAGTAAATTGCCCAAGGTCATATGGTAGGAAGGAACAGAGCCCGGTTTTGCACTCAGGCAGCCTGGCTCCAGAGTCTGCGCCCTCACCTTTATGCCACGTCATCATTTTGCTATGTGCTGCTTTCTGTCTTGGAGGCAATTTATCAGCTATGCCAGTTTCCAAACCCAAAAATGACTCCATTAAAAAAAAAACAAAAAGCCATGTCAAAGGTAAAGAATGCCAATAAATTACTCAGGCATGAGTCTTCACGACTAAAAATGAGATGAGTGATGCTCCTTTAAGCTTTGAGTGATAGGTGAATCTAATCTTTATTATCCATCAGTTTACAGATGTGCACAGTTTACAGGGAGGCAGCTGTGGTTTAGGCAAATAAGTATGAGAGATACTCAGACGGCTCAAACCCCAGCTGTACCACCAACCAAGTATGGGACCCTGCCCAAGTTACTGAGCATCTCTGAGCTTCAATTTCTTCATCTGCAAAATGTATTAAAATTGTGTAGATAAGATCACTAAGGGCGTGTAGATAAAATTGCATCATGTCGGGGTCTTTGCTAAATCTGAGACTGCTGTGAGCCCACGGATAGAAGACTGTCCTGGAGACCCCAGGTCTAGGCGTTTCTCTGCCCCATGAGACTTTGGGGACTCTCTCAAACCCGGGCTCCGGAGGAGGTTAACAGAGACATCCACAAGGCCCAGGGCTGGCTATACTGATTTATTGGAAACACAGATCAAGACAGAGATGAACAGAGCAGAGGAGGGAGAGACTGGGGGCTCTGGCCATTGGCTCAGGATTGGGTCCTAGGCCTGGTCCTGCCTGCCCCTGAGCCCCCTTCTTGTGGACATCAGGAGACTTTTCTTTGGGCTAGCCTTTCCCCGCGCAGGGCTGCAGAGCAGAGGAGGGGATCACGCAGAGAAATGAGAAGCGGGGAGCGGAAACGAGGTTTTAAAGTGCAGCATAAACTGCTGAGTGCTTGTTCCAGCTCCCTGGGCAGGGCGGGGCTGGATGGGAGAGATGCTTCGGGCCCAGGGCTTCCGGTGGGGCGCCTAACACTTCCGGCAGCTCCGGGCGAAGGAGTTCACGCCACAGGAGCTGATGCCGTAGGAGCTCACGCCACCAGCGCCCAGGCCACAGGACGTGACGGAATCGCAGGGGCCGCAGGGCGCACAGGGGGCGCATGTTCCGGTGCTCACCACCAGGTTCCCGCTGCAGGGGGCGCTGCAGACGCTGCCTGTCACCGGCCGGGATCCAGACACGCAGAGGTCCCCGCAGACAACCCCGCCCCGGGAGCTGCTGACACCTGCGAACCGCGAAGCCTGAGTCAAAATTCTGGGGAGCAAGTCATCCCACCTCCCAGACGACTGCCCCTCCCCAAGCCCTGAGCTTTGGGTATTAAAAGGCAGGACCTCCTTTAGTTGACAACTCCAGGTCCATTTAGTGTCAAAGTTGCCAAGTCTTTCTTGGTGTCTGACCCCAAATACCTCGTGCTATAATGTCAGCCCACTTTTATATGTAGGTCTCAGTGAAAGCCCTCCTTCCAGACTCTCCTCCCCTTCCCTCACAGCAAACCTTTCCACATAGGGCCTAAATTACTCACAGACATTCACAGCCCCAACGCCTTCACACAGTCTAGAGGGGGAAGAAGAAAAGGGTGATGTTAGTTAGTGACTTGGCCAGGATTCCCGATGGAGCTTCCTGAAATCTTGGGGGAGAATGGATCCACAAGTCGCCAAGGAGGTAGGAGCAGAGGGTCTAATGGAACACTTCCTCTCCAGCTGCACCCTCCCCAAAGGAGTAAATATTAGGTTTACCCCAAGATTGCTCAGCCAAGGGCAAGGGTAGGGCTTGTGCAAGGGGTTGTTGTGTGCTGTCTCGTCTATTCCTACTCAAAGCGACCTTATAGGACATAGTAGAACCGCTCCATAGGGTTTCCTAGGCTGTAGTCTTTGTGGGAGCAGGTCACCAGGTCTTTTCTCTGGCAGAGCTGCTGTTGGGTTTGAATTGACGCCCTTTCAGTTAGCAGACAAGTGCTTAACCATTGTGCCACCAGGGCTTCTTTGTGCAGGGGCTGGGGATGGGAAACTCTGGGCCAGACAGGGATGGGCCCTACCTGTGCTCCTCGCCCTCCAGGAGGCGCCTGTAGGTGGCGATCTCGATGTCCAGGCCCAGCTTGGAGTTCATCACCTCCTGGTACTCCTTGAGCAGGCAGGCCATGTCCTGCTTGGCCTTCTGCAGGGCCTCCTCCAGCCCGGCCAGCTTGCAGCGGGCATCGTTGAGGGCCGCCTCGCCCTGCTGCTCAGCCTGGCTCACTGCAGCCTCTAGCCTGGAATTCTGGGGGCCCAGAAGAGAACAAGGTGGCTTATGGTCCCTGGGTCTCTCTGTTCATTTCCTGGATTTGCTCAGTTTTTCCCACACAACTGGGAACAACCAACCCAGAAATAGGACCTTCTCTCTTTCACCCCCGAGTCTCTCTGAGTGACCACAATCAGGGACTCTAGTCACGTAAACGGGCTGGAGAAGTAATGGGGAGATCCAGATTGTGCACACCTTGGCTGTGTGATCCTGGGGAGGCCCTCAGCCTCTCTGGTCTTGGGCATGGGCTGACCCGTACCTGGCACTTGGCGTTCTCCACCTCAGCCGTCAGCCTCTGGATCATGCGGTTCAGCTTGTTGATCTCCTCCTTGGTGCGGCGCAGGGTCTCCCCGTGCCGGATCACCGTGGCCTTCATCTCCTCGCACTGCAGGAAAGCAGGGATGCTCATCAGGAAACCAGGAATGATTGTGCAGGTTGTACAGTGCTCAGCTTGCTTACCCACACATGGCAGTCCTGCCTGTGCCACCCCAATGAGAGCTGTCTGCACTACCCTGACACATCCCTAGGGAAGGACCCTCCACAGTTGTTGTCAGCATCAGAATCCCCAGACAAAAGAAGCCTTTTCTAATATATACCTTGCACCCTCCCACTGCTATGTCTCGGAGGTGGGTGTCCTGCGTCACTCACCTTGCTGCGGTACCAGGACTCAGCCTCAGCCCGGCTGCGGTTGGCAATGTCATCGTACTGAGCCTTGATCTCGGCGATGATGCTGTCCATGTTCAGGTCCCGGCTGTTGTCCATCTTCACCACAACCGAGGTGTCTGAGATGTGGGAGTGGAGGATGCGGATCTCCTGCAGGGATTAAGGTGGAGGGTGGGAGATGGCAGAAACTTTAGACCACAGCCCCACACACCACAGCCTGAACTCAATCTTCATAGCTTCCCCTGGTCTCCAGCCCCTACTGTGTCAGATGGCCTCATGGACTGCAGCTCCCTGCCCAAACCCCTGTCAAACACCTCAGCTCTAGGAATGAGTCCCTCTCTTCTAGACTGCCTTGCAGGGTTTTTGTCTGCGCCATGCCCCCTCACCTCCTCATACAGTCGCCGAAGGAAGTCAATCTCTTGGGTCAGGGCCTCTACGTTGGCCTCCAGGTCTGACTTTTGGAGGTAGGCACAGTCCACTTCCTGTCAAAGAACAAGACATGATAGGCTCTAGGGGTTCACAGAACTTTGGAAGGTCATTTTATCCATGCCCCTGTCTCTGGGCAGGATCTGCCCTGACTATCCCAGACAATCATGAGTTCCCCTGTCCTGACCAATCCTAGTTCCATGTACCCATCGATTTCATCTTAACTTCCAAGATAGCACCTCCTGATAAACAAGTCCTCCATTCTGGCATGACCAAACCCCTTTGGTTGAGGTCTGGGAGTTAGAAAAGGAATAAATTAATCCTCCCTAAGTCCTTCCTGTCTCCAAGGTCTTTCTGTTTTCTTCAAGTTCACGAAGAGTCCACTTGTATTAAAATTGATTGACTGCACAGGAGTCACGTGCTGTGAAACAGCCTCCCTGTTTTTCTGAAGTTGCTTATCCTTTGCCTTCCAGGGTCTCTGGGGCTCTCTAACTCTTATTTTTTGTTCAAAGGCCCAAGTCAATTCTTTCCCACTTCAATGTAAGCCTCACATTGGCCATTTGCCCCTTGAGATAGCCTCACCTCTCTTCCCCCTGCGCTGGTCCCTCATGCTTGCCGGCCTTCTCCTCACACCTCAGGAAGCCTGCCTGGACTCATGCTCAGCTCTGCTCTCCGGCTCTTTCTCCTATCCTCTCACCACTCCTGGTTTTTCCATTGGCTCTGCAGGTTTGTGTCCTGGCTCCCTATGCCAGTGTCCCCATCAGCCTAGGTGCCTCTAAGGGCAGAGTCTCCTTGGACACTCTCCACACCCATAGTGCCTCTGTACTTAGAATCACCAGATGGACACCTACCTTCTTCAGAGCCACAAATTCATTCTCAGCTGAAGCCCTCAGGGCTACCTCCTCTTCGTACCTGACACGGGGCAAAGGGAGAAGATGGCATTAGGTTTCCCTCACGTCCCGAGGGAGGGCCCTCTCTGAAGGCAGGGGCAGGGTCTGAGTGAGATTCCATCTCCTGAACAGGTTGGGTCCTGCTCTAGGAGGGGCTCTCCCCTTGCTCCTTCTTCTCCTTGGAAGGAGGCCCAAAGAGCATGCTTCCCAGTCACAGGGAAATCCTCCACAGCCCTGTAGCTTGAAGTTCACACTGGGTATCAGCATTCTATTAAATTCTATGCTTCCTGAAGGCCTTATACAGACTACCTGCTCCATAAATATTTTTGCAATTGCACGGACTTTGTCAAATCTCTCTAAGGTGTGCTTGCAAGGATTCTGATAATTAAAACTTATTCTTATTTACCAATCAAGTTACCATAATTTTGGTTTAAATTTCAGAACCTTGGATTCCCCAAATAGTAGAAACCCACGTAGGTGGAGAGGCCAAAGAATTGAGGAATTTTGAGGAAGTCTGGATAATCCAAATGATGGACTTTAGCTCCAGGAGAGCTGTCTGTTCAAACCAAAATTCCTCAAATTTTTAGTCTACAGAGTTGCCCGGGGAAATTAACAAAGCTATGAGGTTTCAAATCCCCAGCTCTAAATCGCTACCAGCCTTCAGCAAATGGGCAAGAGATATTTGCGAGGCTGGTTTAGCTGGCCCTGAGGAGAGATGTAAAAGCAGAACCACTGTCTGCTGCACTCACTTCTTCTTGTAGCCCTCCAGCACCTCCTGCACATGGTTGAGCTCAGAGGCCAGTCTCCCGCTGTCGGCCTCCACGCACTCGGCCTCCCGCCTCAGCGTCTCGATGTAGCCATTGAACAGAGGCTCCAGGTTGCTCTCGCAGCACTTGCGGTTCTGGTAGAACTGCCACTTGGTCTCCAGCAGCTTGTTCTGCTGCTCCAGGAAGCGCACCTGCCATGGGGCGGGAGGAGGGGTCAGATGGCCATGAGCATTTTTTTAGAGATTGGGGTTTGCTGGAGGAGGAAGTACTGGCAACTCCCAGCCTAGGGGATCAGTGGTAGAGGCTAAGAGTGGGTAGAAGGTAGACAACTGGAGGCTGAACATAATCTTTGTTTACTCATTCAAAGAGAATTGAACGAATTATTGGGCAACATATGATTTTGGATTCAGAAAGTCTCCAATAGTCTATTGAACAACATCTAGATTTCCCAAGGATGGATGATATGGGATAATATAGATGTGAGTCCCAAATTACAGAGCCAAGCACTTATGGAGTACTCTATTTTTAAAGGAAAGAAAGGGAAACCTTGCTTCTGCTCTTTTGAGCTGAATTATCCAGGTATTGGGGTTCTCGGGGCTCTAATAACACTGGATCAAGACATATTACAGATCCTTGAGGCCAGGAGGAGTCAGGAGTTCGGTTCAAGGTTGACCTTCTCACTCAGACCAGAATACGCCCCTTCCACCTGGTAATAAGTGGAAACAGTGCCCTGGGGACTGTGCAAAGGGAAGTCAGTACCCTAGTCTCTTTACCTTCAACCTGGGGGGTCTCAGAGGCAGCAACCAATTTACTGGCGCTTTGATTGTTCCTTTGGGGTTCAGGTGACTCTGTCATGTGACATCCCCTGAGAACCAAGAGCTCAGGCCACATCAAGTTCTTAGGGTGAAATCAGGGCTGGGAGCTTCTGAGACTGAGTGTATGAAGTGACCTTCTCATTAGACTGGCACCTCTTGCCTTGCTCTGGCTCTGCGTCTGTCTCATTGGTCAGATTGGGGCGGGGTGGGGTCGGAGAGCGGTGTGTTGTGACGCTGTTATATTCTCTTTGTGTTTATCAGTTGATTTGCACAGGTTGTGTATAATGACTTCATCATCAGAATTGCAGTATCTGGTTCTGTTGTCCCCTCCATCAGACTGAGAACTCTACGTGCAGTTTCCTGCCTCTATCTTTCCCCTCAGTGGCCAGCCTGAGTCCTGCACATGGGTGAGGGTTCAGGAAGAGTGTGATCAAGGGCACTCACCTTGTCGATGAAGGCAGCAAACCTGCTGTTGAGGCTCTTGATCTGCTCCTTCTCCTCGTGCTTCACGCACTGTGCGTTGGGGTCGATCTGCAGGTTGAGGGGCGTGAGCAGGCTCTCATTGACTGACACGGTGGTGATGCAGGGGGCGCTGGGCCCGCTCACGCCGCCAGAGCGGTAGCCGAAGCTGCGGAAGCCCCCGCAGACGCTGCGGCTGCCGAAGCCTCCGCTGAGGCCGCGGTAGCAGGAGATGCCGCAGTACGGGGCGGCGGTGATGCAGCAGCGGCTGGGCCGGGGCCCGCAGGCCGAGACGCAGCTGAAGGTGCGGCCGCGGAATCCTGATCCGCAGGTCATGGTGCTTCTGGAAGGTTGGGATGCAGAGGACAGAATGAAGATCTGGAGTTCGAGTGGAAACTCCAATGTGCTCCTCTTGGCGCCCCAGCCCTATTTATGCTCAGACTCTGAAGGGCTTGGCTATGCAGATGGGGTTTGGGCAATTTGCCGCTTTATGGGCTTGGGCGGTTAGCCGGGCCCAACGCCTCTCCGGAATGTGCTTTAAACGTGGAGTGGCCCGCACCCTCCTCTGTGTAAAGGCAGCCAGCCCCTGGGCTGTAGAGGCACTCAGCAGGTTTCATTTTCAAAGTGCCTCGGGCACTGGGGAGGAGAGAGAAGAGCGAGGGGAGGGAGGAATGGGACCAGAAGAGGAGGGGAGGGGAGGCTAGGTGCTGGGAGAATGAGGGGAGGGGACCTGTGGGCTGTGTGTGTGTGCACACGCGTGCGGGGGACCCAGAGAAGGCTGAGGAATTAATAAATAACCTCCAGATGCTTCCATTCCAGTAGTGGCCAAGGTGTTACTAAGACAGAAATCCGGATTTCCCCATCCTCAGACTGTCCAGCAGGCTGCCGAGAAACATCTGATTTTTCCTACCATAGCAACAGTCAGCAATTTATTTGTCTTTTATGTCTTTTTTCAAGTTTCGAGTTTTCAAACATATAGAAAACTTGAAAGAATAGTACAACAACAAATACCCACAGATCCTTCACCAAGATTCAACAATTTTTAACTTCATGCTCTATTTGCTTTCACGTTTGCCCACCTATTTGACAGGTAAGCTACAGAAAGCATAGCACGTCACCCTTACATACTTCAGCATGTATTTAAGAATGGGCTCATTTCTTAAGAAAAAGAAACATTTTCACATGTAAGAAAATTAACAATTCTAAAGAATCATTTACTATCCATTCCAAATTCAATTTTCTCAATTGTCCCAAGAAATTTTTATAGGCTTTATGTGATTTAACTTGTTGTCTATTCCTTGTGTTTTGTATAAACTGGAGGTTAAGTCTAGAGCTGGGCTGTCCAATATGGTAGCCAATAGACACATCTGGCTATTTAAACTTAAATTAATTAAAATTTAGCTAATTGATTAACAATCTAGTTCCTCAGGTGCGCTAATCACATTTCCAATCCTTAATAGCCACAGCTGACCAGTGACTACCTTATTGGACTGAGCAGATATAGGATTTCCACTATCACAGAAACTTCAATGGGACAGTGCTGGTCTAGAGGCTTGATTAAGTTTAGGTTAAACATTTTTGGGCAGAATACTTCATAAGGGATGCTGAATAACTCTTAGTGTATCACACTAGGAATCACAAAATGTCAAGTTGTCCTACTATTGGTGATGCTAAATTTGATCACTTGAATACATTTTCCCCTTTGCAATTAGAAAGAATCTGTAGGGAAACATAGGTCTTTTTTGGATGAGAGGGCATTTCTCTTTTATTGGACAACTACTATATGTTCATCATTATATGATGCAAACTACCTCCAATTTCCACCTCAAACTTATGAAGTATATACCATTATCCCCATTTTACAGATAAGAATACTGAGGCTCAGAGAGGTTAAATAACTTGCTCCAAGTCCCCCAGCTGGTGCCATGCCTTCCCGCCTACAGGCTGTGACAACCTGTGGATTTCCTAATCCCTGGGAAAGCTCAAGAGGGTAGAGAAGATTGTTTAGGAGGGGCTATCTGTGCATTTAGGGTTGGGGAGAGTCAGTCTAAGGAAGGTCGGCACAGTCAGAGAGGTCTGGATGGTAAGAACCAGGAGGGGCCAGTCAGGGGTGTGTGTGGCACAAGGGCTTTATGAGGCTGTTTGGGGCTGGAGAGGGGTGTTGGCTTGATCTGCAGGGCCTTGTGGCTGAGAATTGGAGGAAGTTTTCATTATCTGATACCTCTTGGGTGTATTGTAGTCACCTTGATAGGTTGTTTTCTCTTCTTCTTATCCCCACTCCAAAACAGCAGGTTCTAGAAAAATTATCTCATAAAGTACAGACGTTTGAATTAAATTGAAGCGAAGAATGTTGTTGTTAGTTGCTGTTGAGTCAATTCTGACTCATGGCGACCCCTTGTACGCAGAGTAGAACTGCTCCGTAGGGTTTTCAAGGCTGTGACCTTTCAGAAGCAGATTGCTAGGCCTCTGGGTGGGTTCAAATCACCAATGTTTTCGCTAGTAGTTGAGCACTTAACTGTTTATGCCACCCAGGGCCTCCTTGAAGAGACGAATCAAACCAAAAAAA